TCTATTTAGTTCATAGAAAAATGTGTGCACGTGCGTCACCGTGCTCCTGAGCCTGTATTGATAACTGGGTGTTCAAGCCCTCAATGCCTCGTTCTTCTTCACTCATCGTAGCATTGGATATACCCCATTTGTATTTTATATATATATATATATATATATATACATGTATTTTAAAAAAACATGTAGATGGAAGCAATGGTAGGGCTAGACTACTGATGAAACTGGAACTGTGTTGCGAAAGGCGATGGATCGACAGTTCTCCAGACAGTCGCAAAGGTGGTCAGCAATTCCTCAACAACAACAGTGCGTAATTGTCCTCATTGATTCAGTGCCACACAATTGTCAGCCAGGCAACATTATCGCATTGCTGTAGTAGTAATCCCTTTATTGTCAACGTATCTCGAGGCCACTGCAGCAGCAGCATCCCTGTTTTTCTTCCATCGAGATACCAATGGCCAACCCCTTGGAACCCTTCGCTGTTGTTGACTTTGACACACCCCAATAATAAACCACATGATGCCAAATTGCCGTAGCTCCCATTCAACTCTTGATTCTTGCTCTTTCCTGCCCTTTTATGGCCAGCTTTGCTCCAACTTGCCACACGTACACCGACCAGCTAAATTCCATGAAAACATGATCGTTGGTTGGAGCCAAACATGCAGGTAGGGATGAAGAGAAAGAGCTCACTGAAAGAGCCATTTTCTATTACCGACATTTTGATCCTTGGCTTTCAGTTTTTAGGGTTTCGGCCGGCATATGAACAGTGCAGAAAAGGATCCTTTGTTTCACATTGCGACTACTGGGTTTTGTTATCGCCACTCGCTCTTTGCATTACAATTTAGTTTTTCAGTCTAACTAAAATCCCATATACAAAATATATTTAAGGCCACCTCCAATTACTGCACAAGGAGTTTGTTTGGATTGTTGCAGCCCAGTCGTCAAATTGAGTGAGATTTTGGCATTTCGAGGAATTGGACCAGGATCTTGCATTTAGTTCACATGGCTGAATGCAGTTGTTAACGCACACACAAACACACACACGTGCTCTTAAATCATGAGAACTACACGTGACTTTTAAAAAAGAAAAAAAGAAAAATGGGAAAACACGGAAGGCATGATTTGAAATGTTTCATTCCAAATAAAACTGTAAAATCCTAACTTTTAACTCTGGAACTGCTGCATAAAAAAATACCAACTGAGCGAGTATCGTGAACACTTTATTCAACTGAATGAGTGTATTTATCAGGAGAATTTTACTTTAGATGAATATTATTTTCCACATTGTATATATATTTTTTGATTTATCAAAATGCATTATAAACAGATTTCTATCATTATTTTTTTGTTCTCTCTAAAAACTTAGAATACATAGACATACCAATCTAGATTAATAGTATAATACACACCTTTCTAATCTTTAATTAAAGATTTCATATAGACCTAAGATTAATGCTTGAGTTCAATTTGCAAAAATTGACATCAATATAAAGTCTCATTTTTGTTTTTTGATGAAACAATATTTAATTAGATGTTTTTTTTAACAAAATCTAAATTTATTTATTATTATTATTTTTTGCTCTACTAGCCTTTTAAACTTAATAAAATTTAATAGCGTTACCCACATGAGCAATCTATCACCCATCAAAGCAATCTGATGTCCACTAGAGTAATTAAATGGCATAAGATTAAGGCAACAAGTGAGAAGATAAGAGCAACACTATCAATGCTACTACAAGATGGAAAGGCGCCTCTTGAATACGGGCCAAGGATGCCAAGTATTAAAGATTTGGAATAGTACTATAGTCATAGTTATGAATAAATAGAACATTATGTAGTGATATCAGGCAATACAACCTTGATTTAGAATAGTATTAGGCCAAAGGCTATGTAATTCCAAATCTTGGTAATAAATAGGTTTTTTATAGATTAGTGTGTGTTGTTGGTTGCAACTATCACCAAATTCTATCTTGTGCTTGCTCATAGCCCTTAAAATTTGAATAATAAATAATTATTTTTATAAGCATCATAGAATCTATTAAGTCTAGTATCGTATTTGTTTAAAGTAGGGAATTGAAAATTCAATAATAGTTGTGTAGAGTTTGATATTAAGATCTTTTTCTATTGATTTCTATTCATTCCAAACTCCTATTTTATACCTTAGATTTAGTTGTTAATTTTAAAGCAAACAAGATTATGTTATATAAAATTTCATCAATTTCTCTTGTAAGGATTCTTTTAAAAAGAGAATTCAATTTAATAAAGAAATAATATATATATATATATATATATATATATATATATATAATTTTTACAAACTTTAAAAAATTTCTATACAAGATTTATAAAAATTAAGATTCTTTGAAAAATATTTCAAAATTATGTAATTATATAAAAATTTATGTAAAAATTATATACATATATCAAATTTCTATACAATAATAAAAATATATACACAAATAATTTGATTATATCTTAATATTATGCAACATAAAAACATTCTAAGTAATTTTTTTCAGGAGGATTATAAAAATAAAAAAACAAAAAATATATACATATATACATATAACATGGAATAATTATTGCACAAGGATAATAATTTTTTCAAACAACTTTAAAATCCAACACTTCAAAGTTATGACTGAGTTTTTTACTTTAGTTTCTTAAAGTTTCAAAAAAAATTATTAATACAGTTATTGTAATCCTCTTATTAATCTTTAAAACAGAACATTTCTAAATAGTCTGTTTGTCATTGCTTCAATTAATCAGAATCTCGCTTCAACACCATAATTTCAGATTCACGTTGCTTAATACTTTACAAAGACAATTTAACTTTTTGTCAGTTATTTTTCTCTTTTTACTTGTTCATTTGAAATCGCTTAAAGCTTTTAATAGCTCTATTAATCAATAGTACAATATTATGAAAACTTTGAAAATCAAACCCATCCAATGACTGGTAGTGTTAACTTGATGCCATTTCTCTCTCTCTCTCTCCCTCTCTCTCTTTATATATATATATATATATATATACACACACACACACACACAAATGCATGTATTTATAAATATCCATATATTAGTGGGAAGTGTTGTTGAGCACAAAAAGTAGGGTTTCAGTGAAGTTTATACGAACTACAGCAAATACTTTTTCCACTTAGAAGAAAACTTCAACAAATAGAAGTCAATATTTCAGAAAAGATAAGAAAAAGCAACAGCGAGACTGTAACCAACAAGAAGACTTGT